CAGCAGAAACTTCGAGCATAGGTGCACCTACCCAGCAGGCTGCTCTGTCTCCAGAGGAGGATGTGAGCTATGTGACTGTGACGCGTGCTGGCACTTGGTATTTTTAGAGTCCTTTTTTTTTTAGCAGAGTAAATTCAAAATTAAACAGCATCCTTGTATGGCTGCGTCCTCCCATCTTCGGGAGGTACCTTCTGGAGCCGATGTAGTTCAGCAGTGATGAAGCAGATGCCTAAAAGAGTAGAAATGACTAGGAATGTCAGCGTTGGAACAGCGGGGTGTCATAACTCATGCAACACTTAAACGAGAGCCAAATCCTATGAACAAAATGGACAATGAGTTTGCAGGGTCCTTGACAGCAAGAAGAGTGAACATCCCATAGAAGGTGTGCATTTGGCTCTCCTGCAGCTGGAGGCATTGGTGAGGCTGCGTCCCATCCACGGCCGCCCGCAGGTCCTGTGCCTGAGGCTCCGTGGCCGTGCACGTGCTGGGCCCTGGGCCTGCCTGGCTTTGAGCACTTCCAGGTTTACCAGGATTATTACGATTATTATTTTTGACGAAACCTAAAACCCTGCAAATGCTTTTTAAAATTCCCTTCATCATTATAGCCTGAATTGCTGGTATAAACTTCACTCGTAATCCATCTCTCCTTCTCAGCTCCCTCTCCTGTAATTAATACCCTGTGTAAATCAGCTTTCTTAACATCATTACCTCTCTCCTTTCCTGTGACGTAGGCAGTAGGCTTTCTTCCCTAAAATGTGCAGATTCTACCTTTTGTTCTCGCTGCTAACTGGAGATGGAGTTTATTAGGAAAATCTGCATCATGTTGGCATAGCAACCGAGCTGCCAGCAGCTCAAATAGTGATGCTTGGCATCTCGTGGGTAGGAGCACGGAGGATCTCGAGGCTCGGTGGGCAAATCTCAGTTATATTTGTTCCTTTGGCACCCGCACGTGGGGTGGGGGGCTGCTCTGGGTGCTGAAAGCATTGATTTTGTCCGTTCCCATCCGTAGCATTGCAGTCATGGGTGGACGCTGTGGGTTGGCGTGCAGTGAGCTGTTGCAGCTGATCCCTAAGAGGATCTGAAGCCTGAGAAGATCCCGTTGCCGTGCGGGGACGTCAGCAGGAGCAGGTTAAGCCTGGTTAGGTAACGCGGTGGCAGGTGAGGTGCCAGAAGGGCATGGGAAGCCTTCACGGTCACGGCTCCCAACGGCACCCTGCTGCTGGCACCCCGTTTTAGTAAGCCTTAAAATAACCCCTCTGCTCGAACATTCCCACTTCAAGTCACTGCTGTGCGGCTCCACGAGCAGCTTGTTACAGACCTCAGCTTTCTTTACTCCTAAAGGACAAAATACCCTGCATGGACATCCCAACCCCAGTGCACCGAGGTCCGAGGAGGAGCGCCTGCTGGACTTTGTGCTGGTTGGCACTGTTTGAGCAGAGCAAACACGGGATAATGTTGCAGCGGCCGGGAAAGCAGTTAGCATGGCTGGCTGGAACCAGTTTGACAGACATGCTGTGTTACCTGGAGTGCAGATGGCATTGTGGTGTTTGGAAGCTGGCTAATGGCTGTGTGCTCTTGGGGCTTCCCCGCGCGACAGCTCCTCTGGCAAATATCAAAGCTCGAGCTTTGTTGTATGGTTTATGTTGGCAGTTGCAGCTCTGCATCCTTTGGTACTTTCGCCCCAGAGCTGGGTGCTATCCCGTACATTGAGTTCCACTATATGCTCCAAAGCCTGTAATTACACAAAGTGATGTGTGTGGACTTTGCTGGACTTGTTATCCGTGAAGCCCAGACAGCTGCTTGCAGGGTGGTTACATCCACAGGGGCAGGAACTGGAAAAGGTGGTTCTGCCCAGGCCTCTGTTCTCTGTTAGGCCATAACCAACCACAGTGCTTAATTGTCACTGGGAGAGGAGGAAGGACAGGTGGGGGCTGCAGCTGCTGTGGAGGCTGGGCTGGGAGCAGCTGGGGCTGTGCTGGAGCTCTGGGCACGGCCTGTTTGATGGCAATCCTCTCAGCAACACCACTGAGTTCTGGAACGGCTCAGTGACCTCTATAAATGTGGGATTCCAGAGCTTTTCCTTAAGCCGGACATTCCTGGGAATTCAGGAAGAGGAAGGTGGGGAAGCCTCTCGTGTCTCACGGAGGCAGAGGCAGTGCCCAAGGCCCTGCAGAGCAGCATGCAGACCTGGGGTGAGATGGGCAGAGGGCAGGGCCAGCTCCAGGGGCACCGGGACTGTACTGGGAGCCCAGTGCCAGTGCTGGAGGCCTCGTGAGAGGCTGTTGGCAGCCGTCTCCATTGGGGAGGGCCGTGGCTGCTACCGCTTGCCTTTTAAGTAGAAGGGCAGGGCTTGAGCAGCCAATCCCACTGGAGCCGGGGAGCTCATAGGCATGTGTCATGAGACACGCCGGCATTTCCTTCCCACCACGCACTGAAATTAACGCCGGGAGTCTGTCGGCGCTGCGTCCTTCCTGGCCTGTCCGAGCAGCGCAGCCGAGCGTGGGCCACAGGAAGATGCTCTGCCTCTGTCTCTATGTGCCAGTGCTGGGGCAGTCGCAGGCAGAGTTTGAGTACTTCGAGTCGAAGGGGCTGCCGGCCGAGCTCAAGTCTATCTTCCGCCTCAGCCTCTTCATCCCCTCCCAGGAGTTCTCCACATACCGCCAGTGGAAGCAGGTATGGCTGTAGGGGGAGCGGGGCTGAGCCCCTGGGCTGTTTGGAGTGCCGTGAGCTCCTTGGGGCTGCGTTGGATTTGGGGCTGCGTTGGATTTGGGGCTGCGTGCCGCTTGGTGGGGGGCTGTTGTGAAAGCACACCTCATTTTGGTTCTTTTGATTCCAATCTGAGAGGAGCCCACCGCTTAAACCGATCGACCTGTTTAAATAGGGAAAAAGGGGTTTTCCAAACCCTCTGCTCATGCTGAAGGCTTCATATCCTCTTCCTTTTCCTCCCCCGCACGCCCTGTGACGAGATGAGTGGTTTCTGCAGCAGCCACGTGTTGCTGGCGCGGGCTGTGCAGGGTGTGCTGCTGGGAGCTTGTGCAAGAGCCTCTCCATTCTTACAGCAGCTGAGTGGGCCTGCTCTGCCCTGCGCTCTGCCCTGCGCTCTGCCCCATCCCTGCACACCATTTCCCAGGAGCACAGGAGCTGAGGCTGAGCTGCTGAGCTGGCTGGCCTTCTTATGCCTTTGTGCAGGTGCACAAATGGAGATGGCTTTTAGATGTGGGGGGTCCTGTGTGTGCTGAGGGCATGCATAGTGCAGGCGCATAGAAACACTTGCAGTGAGCACCACTGCCAGCCAGCAGATCGCTATGCTGAGATGTCATCCTTGCTGTTAAATCCAGGAGCTGTGGACTGAGGTCTGTTCGCCTCTCTTTACATTCTTGTCCTTTACACATGTACAAGAACCCTTGCGGGTCGCTGCTCTACAGGGGCAGTGTATTTCCTGCCCAGGGCGGCAGTGGCAGCGTGCAGTCTCTGATGGCTCATTGCACATTGCTGCTGCTAGGGAAGCAGAGAGGTAGAGCACAGTTGCACAGTCACATCTCTCCTGCAGCAAACGCCTCTGAATTATTTGTGACTGTCAGCTGCTGGGGTTTGCCAGCGAGAGGGAAGCCCTGATTCAGCTGTCAGATGCCAACCCGCTGACATGTGAGAGGTGCTGCTCTATCTTTAGCCCACAAGGTAGATGCGGGGCCCTGTCTGAACTTTACAACAGTCATATGATAAATTGCAGATTAAGAATACTGGGCACACCTCAAAGGTCAGCGCAGCTGGGACGGCGCTTTCTTATTTAAGGCTGATAAGATGGTTGGAACTAATCCTCATAGCATTAGGGCTGAAAGGACAGGACGTGATGGGGTGAGAGGAAGACAGATTTTGAATGGCGAAGCATGTAGTCTTGAAACCATTGAAAACAGCATTGAAATACAAGCTTAAGGCTAATGAAGGAAACCAGTGTCCTTGGGCTGAGGAAATGCCACCGTAGGCTTCAGAGGTAATAGATAAACCTGAGCAACCTTGAACAAAATACTGTGATTAGAGGGTTGGCCTTGGTTTGAAACCTCTGTGACAGCCCAACTGCTGCACACCTAAATGTTACAGGAATTACAGCCAAAACATAGGTGATGAAGTGCTCTGAGTCACACCTCTTGTAGTGTCACTCCCTGACCCGTGTTGAAAAAGACTTCTAGGCTGTCAAGGGCAAGTGACCAAGCAAGAAGGGAAATGGGAACTCCCTGAGCTGCATTCTTGCAGCCTGGAGATTACCTCTGCTGTCAACAAGTAGCCACGTGCCCTGAGATAGCTCAGTTCATCTGCCGTTGCCCCATGCTGCAGTGAGTTAATTTGTCGTTACCTCGTCACAAGCTAATCTGGATGTTGGCTGTGTCCTACTGAGAACCTTCTCTTGTTCTATATGCATCTCGTGGAAACCTGTATAATTAAAGCACGTAGCTCCAGGGTGCCTAAACCAGTTCATAGGGGTTTTTATCTTTGCTGTGCCCACTGGGGCTGGACAGGCTTTTTCTGGTTGGAGTTGGTTCTTGCCAGGGGTAGCATACTTCTTTAGGGATCGTATTAGGCATGGCATTCTTCTCCTGTTCAGGCTTATTTTTTATTGCATCAACTTTGGCAGTTAATTTTCTATGCAAATGTTGTTGCCTCACACTTAGACCCTAAGGAGGCTCTCAAATTATGTTGTGTAAGGTGTTGATCAAGATAGAGGACTGCGATTCGATAGTCGATAGTTGCAGAGTACCCCCAATAACAACGTGAGGCATTGCATTTGGCTGACTTTGGAAGGCAGTTGCCTGGAATCAGGTGACCTTTCTACTCTCCTGCTTTCCTCAAATTTCCTGGGGGAAATTTCATAATTGTCTGTTGCTTTGTGAGGGGAGGAGGAAAGCCAAAGCAATTTAGGAAACGATATTTAATTACGGTGGAGGAAGGGGCAGATCGTCAGAATGAACAAAGGAACTGATGTTTTTTGATTGTCTCCTCAACAGAAAATTGTGAAGGCTGGAGACAAGGACCTGGATGGCCAGCTGGACTTTGAGGAGTTCGTTCACTATCTCCAGGATCACGAAAAGAAGCTAAGGCTGGTCTTCAAGAGCTTGGATAAGAAGAATGATGGTAAGCACCTTTCTCTTGCTCGCAGACAGACAATTGCTCGCTTCAACTTGTCACACAAGTACTTGAGCTCAGTGCCTTCTCTCTGCAGGCCGTATCGATGCCCAGGAGATCGTACAGTCTCTTCGGGACCTGGGAGTCAAGATTTCTGAACAGCAGGCTGAAAAAATCCTGAAGAGGTGAGGCTTCAGCTGGTTGTTGTGTCTTTCTGAGAAGATCTTCGAGTTGAGAGAAGGAAGCGTGCGGACAGGGAACGTTTCTCCTCTTTTCTGCCCTGTATCCACTTCCTGGAGACTTCAGCTGCTTCCTTTTGCCTGTTACTCTTCGTTTTGATTTTTTTCCAATTAAATAACACTTCTAATGCTGTAATTTATTGTGGAGAGTTGCTGTAAGAATGTTCTTGCTTTGTTGGACTTTTGTGGGGAAGGGCTTGTACCTGAGCTGATGGCGTTTGTTCCTGTCTGACTGTCCTGCTGCCCTGAGCTTGCTGCTTTGAAGAGGGAATGTGCAGTTGCCCTTTGGAAATGCTGAGTGCGTTTTGCATGTGGCACTAACATGTTAACAACCACTTATTTGTGCTGTTTTTTTCCTCTTTCTTTCCTCTGCAACCCTCCCTCTGTCTGTTTGCCTGTGTGTCAGAATAAGGACGGGACACTTCTGGGGTCCTGTCACCTAGTAAGTATTTTTTTCCCTTCAGTTGGGAAATTAGTTGGCCTGACTTTGATAGGAGGGGGCACAGCAACTCCTGTGGTGCAGTGAAAGGGGAAATAAGGGAGAAAAAGAGGGAGACCATGTCTATCTCTCTGCAGTTTTCAGTGTGGAGAAGATTTCTTGGCTTTGTCTTGTCTCTTTGGAAGTCTTTCAGTAGTTGCTTTGCAAAGCTTTTATTTTTTTTTTGGTGTAGGTCTGAATAATCAAAGGGAAGGGGAGGAGAGATTTGTCAGCCAGTGGGAGTCTGTACTCACTAATGATAATTTTTTTAGCATGGACAAGAATGGGACGATGACAATTGACTGGAACGAGTGGCGAGATTATCACCTGCTGCACCCCGTGGAGAACATTCCTGAGATCATCCTGTACTGGAAGCACTCCACGGTAGGTTTCTCCACAGCAGCTCGTGGTCTTTTCCCCGGGTTCTCAGTGAAAGCCATAACCCCAGGGAGCTGCTATCAGCAGTCTCTATCGTTTTCTTCATGGTTCGATTGCTGCTTTGTAGCCCTTGAAGCCCAATTGCTTCCTGTCCTGTCCCTTTATCATGCCACCCATCACTGGCATTGCTTCTGAAGCCTCTGGCACAGGTGATAACAACTGTACATTCTGCAAGGAGATGTATGTTCACTTGGCTTGTGCATCTGAGAGCTTGTACCAGCGGCCAGATCCTGCCAGCTTAGAACCTGTTAAGACTGGAAATGGACTTGACAGGCAGCCGTCCTTCCTGGTGATATTTCAGTGTGTGCAAATAGCATGTAATGAGGTTCCAATGAGGCCCAGCTGTGTCCCTGTACAGCTGCCTACAGATGATCTTTTTTAAACTTCATATATACAGTTGATCATTCTGTTCATTACTGTGATCCACAGTGTTTTAATGAAGACAAATGTTTAGCAGTTCCCAGCTTCCAAACAAATCTGCTAAACCCTGGTGAGGTGGTGTAGCACAGGCAGTCCCAGGAGCCAGACACAGCTGTCGGTGGTTTCAGATAAGCTGCTGTCATGAAGATGGTTATTCCAATACTTAGTGCTGATAAAGAGAGGTAAAACTGTACCAGTTTTGCTAGCTGGTGAAACAAATCCTCAACATCATCTGTTCTTTTGCAGATCTTTGATGTGGGAGAGAATTTGACTGTCCCTGATGAGTTCACAGTGGAAGAGAGGCAGACAGGGATGTGGTGGAGACATCTGGTTGCAGGTGGGGGTGCAGGTGCCGTGTCCAGAACCTGTACAGCTCCCCTGGATCGCTTGAAGGTGCTCATGCAGGTATGATGGAACAGTTCCAGTTTGTTTGAATAGCCTGAAGACTGATCCCCTTAATGTTCTTGCCAGAGTGGGATGGAGGAGGTGATCACGTTCATTAACTTGATATAGCACTTTGGCTAGGGTCAGCCATGTAGCTCCTATGTTGGTATTTTGGGAGTCTTTTGGGGTGATTTGAGTGGTCAAATTCGTGTCAACAAATTATCCTTCATCGACTAGAAAAGATAGAGAGACATTTTTGGGAGGTAGGCATGTGAAAACTGTCAATAGTTGGAGAGTTTTGTGGTTCAGAGCACTGGATGAATTGGATTTTTGTGAAACAGGTTCAAGTTGTGGGTGTTAAGTGGTTGTGGTGGTGAGCTGACAGAGCTGATGTTCCATGCAAGTATTGTGTGTTACAAAGGAGTTACAAAAACCCAGTTTCAGTTTGCCTCCTCACTGTACCTGCTCTCCAGTCATCTGGGAAGTCTGCTCTGTGCAGCTGGCCCTGTGCTACGTATTGGAGATGGCTGCTTAACCTTTCTCCCCATTTCAGAGGGGTGTATTGATTAGATCCGTTAGTTAACATTGGACTTCACAAAGAGGAAGAGAAGCTTGCTTTTCTATTGTAGAAGTTATTGAGAGGGGATTAAAGCCTTGGCAAATCTCTGGGTAAATAAAAAAAGTGCCCTTTTGTCCCTGGATTACAGAAGAACGTAACGCTGTCGTAATCAGGACTGGAACTAATCCAGGTTCACTCTCTCTCTCTCTCCCAGGTCCATGCCTCCCGCAGTAACAACATGTGCATCATTGGTGGCTTTACTCAAATGATCCGAGAGGGTGGCACCAGGTCACTGTGGCGAGGGAACGGCATCAACGTGCTGAAGATTGCACCGGAATCTGCCATCAAGTTCATGGCTTATGAGCAGGTAAGGGAAAAAGCTTGGGAGGAATCTGACCGCAGCGGGGGCTGCGGAAGGACGAGCTGAAAAGCGTGGCTGAGGGAAAGGCAGTGAAGCTCAATGTCTGTCTGCCTTGGCTTCCACAGATCAAGCGGTTCATTGGTACTGACCAGGAGATGCTGAGGATTCACGAGCGACTGTTAGCTGGCTCTCTGGCTGGGGCCATCGCACAGAGCAGCATCTATCCGATGGAGGTGAGAGCACTGGCAGTGCAGCCCCTGCAGGGTCATGGGAGGGTGCCAGGAGGGGAGCTGATGTCCTGCCCGGAGTTCTGAGAACTCGTTAAGCAAGCTGATACCCAGTCATGCTGCTCACATGACACCCCTGCAGTCCTGACCGTCCTGGCTCTCAAGAGTTGCATCTTTTCTCCTGTTGATTCTCCTTAGATCTTAATGGCGTTCATTCTTGTCTTGTAGGTTCTGAAAACACGGATGGCTTTGAGGAAGACAGGACAGTATTCAGGCATGTTGGATTGTGCCAAAAACATCCTTTCCAAGGAAGGAATGGCTGCCTTCTACAAAGGCTACATTCCCAACATGCTAGGAATCATTCCGTATGCTGGTATTGACCTGGCAGTGTATGAGGTATGGAGCTGTTAATGCTTCTGTGGGGCTGTGCTGCTTGTGTAGCTTTATCAGTCAGACCAGGCTGTTACTACAGGAGTTTAAATAACTTATCAAAGCTTTTCTGATCAGCCTTAAGGGGCACAGATGAAGCGTTTTAGTCAAAATGGCCTAAAAGATAATCCAGTAAGATGGTTTTCCTTTCATACTTGGCACCATGCTTGATGCCATGTTTCTTTTTTGAGAGAATTGCAGCAGCAAATTAAAGGTTTTCATTCTCCCAGGCCCCTAAAGGGGCAGTAACTTCAAAAGATCTGAGAAGCCTGGCTGATATTGCACGCACCTCCCTGGGCCTTTGTACTAGATCTTTTATGTAACTTGTTGTTCTTCTGATTGCATCTTCACTGCTAACATCCAGCTTGTTCCCTCCAGACACTGAAAAATGCCTGGTTGCAACGCTATGCTGTCAACAGTGCTGACCCCGGAGTCTTTGTCCTCTTGGCTTGTGGCACCATATCCAGTACCTGCGGGCAGCTTGCCAGTTACCCCCTGGCTCTTGTGAGGACACGCATGCAGGCCCAAGGTGAGAACCTGGGGAACTGTGTGTGTTGTGTGAGCTCCTGCCACGGTCTCTGAGCAGGGTAAAGGTCCTCCGGTGCAAACATTGCGACAGCAGCCGTGCTGCCGAGCAGAGGGCTGCGTGCCACGCTGGACGGCGGACTTTGTGCTGTCCTCTGCACTCAGATGCTTCTGGGACAGAGCAGTCCTGCTTTCCTCAGCCGAGAGGTTTGGGCTGGTGGCATCTGCAGAGCAGTTTGGGAAGAGGGCTGTGATGTGCAGCGCAGCCGTGGCTCGCTGACGAGTTAGCTGTTCTCCTCAGAGCACCTTTGGTCTGTGAGCATCCGTGGGAGGCGCGTGATGCAGAGCTGCCCCGTGAGACAGGCGTTGGCCTCGTGTTTGTGTGGCACAGGTCGCCTTACTGATGGAGGCTCTTTGCGTTGCAGCTTCTGTGGAGGGCGCTCCCGAGGTGACCATGAGGGGACTGTTCAGACACATTCTGAAGACCGAGGGAGCGTTTGGCCTTTACCGTGGGCTGGCCCCTAACTTCATGAAGGTGATCCCAGCCGTCAGCATCAGCTACGTGGTTTATGAGAACTTGAAGATGACGCTGGGCGTGCAGTCACGGTGACCAGGAGATGCCCAGGACTTGGAACTCTGAAACCTTGGGGCTCGATCCCAAGACGTGCAGTCATCTCTCATTCTGTGAATGTGTCGACACTAAGCTGACTAAGCAAAGCTGTGAAATCTCTGATAGTTTGTGAGTCGGGAAGGGGAGGGGAGGATCTGGTGTCCTTTGCCACTGTGCTGCTCGAAGCTCTGCAGAAACCATCACGTGGTCCTTTCTGTTGGGCCTCTGGGGAGGCTGGGAGCTGAGCTCCAGTCCCAGTCTTAAGGCATTTGTTTGAGGTCAGTTCCCAGCAGTATGGCAAAGTAGCAAAGATTTGGGGAACAGTCTGCTTTCAGCATATTCGTGTACAGAGCTGTTTGCCTGCAGATGAGCACCTTCTGACTTGCTGGAAGAGCTTCTTTTTCCATTCAGTTGTTAACTTCCTACCTGTTGTTCAGATTTGTACAAACCTTGTGGAGGAGCTGCTGCCACACCAGGCTTGTCATTATGTTTACATATATTCCTTTGGGTAGGAGATATTCATGTTCTGCTTCCAAGACTTGACATGAAAAGTGATTTTTTTGAACTGTTCTGATTTTGAGGGCTGGTGGGCAGTGGTTTATCCAGTCAGGCTGAATGTTACTTAGGCCAGCCTGATGAAGGATTAGGATTATTTATTTTTTATAGATTTAAGTGTGTCTCATAAATCCACTAACAAGATGCACTTACTAACAGAAGCAGCAGCCTAGAGCCTGCATGCCTGTATCCTCTGCATGCCAGACTGGCTTGTCTTATACTCAGCAGGAGCTTGGAAAGGGGAAGGCTGGAGAGCCCTGGGTGGACTGGCACCTCGATGCATGGCTTCAATGACTAAACAACTATTCCACAGCTCCTGTGAGCCTCTGTGCAGCGTTGCACGGACCTCCATTCCATTCTGCCCGCTGCCCAGGGTGCCTGATGGACCTTTCCAAGCCCCATGCCCGTGCTGCTACCAATCTCTTTAGACCTCTTTGTAGTTTGCTGTTCAGGTTTGCATTAGCAGGATGGAGTCCCCAAGCCAGGAGTCTGTCTGCCACGGGGGGGGGGGGGCTGTGAGGGAAGGGCTGGTTGTCACTGGGAGATGTCAGTTCAGTCCTGAAAACACGCTTGCTTTCCTTTCAAAGGGTGCTTTTTGCAGGGCTAAGGGAAAGAGACGGCTTTAAAATTTCTCTGTGTTATGGGCTACTTTAGTGGATAGGATCTGGCTGCTGAGGCCTGGGAGATCCTCATCCAACTCTTCGTTTTGGGCGAGATGGACCACCGTTGCATTCCACTGTTTTACTGCTTAAAGCATATTTATTTTGTATTTATTTGAACAGATTTATGCCAGACTATTTTTATAGACTTGTTTAAATATTGTTACTGTGCTTGTATTAAAAAGTTCTCTGTCTGTTTTCATACATCACACAGCTGAGTGGCGGGGGAGGCACTGAAGTCGGTAGCGTCCCTTATCTGGGGCACTCAGCTGCCTTTCCCCAGCGTGGGGTTGTTGCTGGAGGACCTCAGCCCAGAGAAATGCTGTAGCAGGAAGCCATGGGAGAGAAGGGAGCTGGTGAGGAAGCAGGGATGAGGGCAGAGGGCGCCGCGGGGGTCGCCTTGCTTGGCATCACCTCCACGCGTGGCTGAGAGGGTTTGGGGGCAAGTTGGGAAAGTAGGTGTGTGGAGGTTGGGTGTCACAGGGGCTGAAGGAGAGCGATCCTGGGAATCTGTGAAGGGGGAGGAGGGAGAAAACTCGGCGACTGAAGAAAACTTTCCATTGAGGTGGGAGGGAATTTGCCCTCGGACCCGAGGTGCTGCAGTTGTGTTTCGGGTCAGCAGATCCTGCTGCTGAGTTTGGTTCGTGGGGAGTCTTCCAGATGAGGCTCTGCCCTGACAGTGCTGTCAGCATCAGCTGTGTGGGAATCCCACCAACCCACATCAGGGGTTAAGAGTTTTTTCACACCTCCCTCTTTCTTTCTTTCTTTTCTTTTTTGTTCTATGGTAAATTTTTGCAGTGGCTTCTTCCTACCAGTGTGGCCTAATGAGACAATGAATATCAGAATGCAAAAATCAATGCAAAATGACAACTGTCTTTGTAGCTGTAACCACAAATTGTTATAATGCAAATCTAACTCAGATTCTTCATGTAGGGAACAGTCTGCTAATAAAGGTCTGTCAAAGAGACCCCTCGTGTCCACGTCTCTCTATGAAGGGTTGGTGCTGCCTGGGATCAGATTTTTCCTCCTTAGGATGTTTGTCACCACGGATGCTGACGGTGGGAGCAGTTTCCCCTACAAGGACCTGGGAGAGCAGAACTCTTCCTGACGGAAAGAAGAGTGGGAATGAGATTTAAACAAAACCAATTCATGGTGGTGAAGGGTCAGACGTGGGTGCTGTCAGCTTAGCTGTGCGCTGCTGGGTTTTGCTCATCTGTTCAGTGTGTGCACTCAGAGGGAGATGTGGGAACTGTGCAGTGCGCCTGTGCCCATGGAGGAACCAGGCTTTAGAAATGGTCAGAAGAGGTTTTGTTCCATTTCTGTCTTAAACAGTAACCACCTGTGAGCTGAAAGTGCCGGGAGCCCACGGCTGGCAGCGCGAGTGGCCTCTGTGCCCAGCAGTGTGCAGCTGGGCTGGGTTGCTTCCTGCGTCTCCAATTGCAATTCAAGGCTCTCACTCATCCATAAATCTACTTACCAAGTGCTGCTCTTTGCAATCTGAGGACTGCACTCCGTGATGTCGCTCAGTGTGTCCTCAGGGCCCCTGGCAGCACCCACTGCCCTGCCCTGCGCTTTGGCTGCCGGACTGCAGCAGGGTGTGGGTACAGCTGGTGGGCTTGTGTCAGCAGAGCGTTGGCAGCGCCCTGCCCTGGGACCAGGAGTGGATCTGCTCTTCTCGCTTCGTAGAACATTTCCAGTCCGGTTTTCTTTAGGCTCCGTAGAGCAGCGCTGCCTTGCAGGGCAGAGACACCCCAGCGCCGCAGCGGGGGGCAGGGCAGGGCTCTGCTGTTCCGCGTCCTTTTTAAGGAGATATTTTCAGTGCTTAATTGCTGGATGAGAGCTGAGCCTCAATTACCTTCCAGCTCAGCCCTGGCCTCGTTTAACCTCCTGCTTCCAAAACCACGGAGCAACCGTGCTGCCCGGGGGGGGGGGGGGATGGGCTGCCAGGGCTGCACCCCGGCGCTTCGCCGTAACGCACCGAGCCCTTTTTGGAGAAGCGAAGTCCCGTGGGATGGGTGAGATCCGCAGCAGGGCACAGCCTCACGAGCGGGCGCCGATTGCCCTCTCCTGGTCAGCCACCACCCTGCATGGATCTGCTCAGCCCGTGCCCAGCAGCGCCCGCCATCACCCGCTGCCGGCCCCGCAGCCTTGCTCGCTGCGGGACGCCTTGTCCCAAACGCCGGGGCAACGGCACGCAAAACAAAGCAGGTGCTCGGTTCGTTTTTGCAGGCCCTGCTCAGGTGGCGCTACAGCTCTGAGCAAAGCGTTTATTGCCGCAGGCTGCCCTTCGGGGTGCTCGGCAGGGCCGTGCCTTGCACTCCTCCATCCTTCCTTTCTTCCACCCTTTCCTTTTCTCCCGGTTGGCACAGCTCCTTCAAAACAGTCGCCGACAAAGGGATGAATGGAGCTGTGCGTGGCAGAGGTCACCCAACCCTCTGTGTTCCTCTGCCCTCATATCCCACACCTGTGCTGATTCCCCCCACCTGGGTCTCTCTGAGCATCTTTCATCTCACCCAACGCTCTGCACTGCACTGACCCCTCTGTGCCCCCACTTCAGATGGGTGAAAGCTGTGCACAGCTCCAGCTGCAGCCCGTGGAGCCCCACACCCTCCTGCTGTCCCACTGCTGCCATTTGGCATCGTCCACCCACAAGTCTCCCTGCGCCCCCAGCTCCAAGCAGGGCTTCTACTGGGAGAACTGGGGTGCACCTGAGTCCTGCAGGAAAGGTAGGGAGGAGGCTGGCGTGTGGCTGGGCTGTGCTGGGGTAATGCTGGTGTGAGTGTTTTGTTATTGGGTGGAAAATGGAAGGGAGAAGCTCTGTTTTACAGAGAGCAGGTGTGGAGCTGGGCAGGCAGCAGGAGTCCCATTGGGGGCCTTCTGATGTCTGGGGTTGTGGCCACGAGGAGTCGCAAAGCACCCAAACTGTTGAAGCAAGGCAGTGCTGAGGACACACCTTCCTCCACGGCGCGTACACCACAGCCCCTCTGCTCAGCCCCAGGTTCTCTGCATGCTGTCCCAGCTCGTCCTGCTGCGTGCTGCTCACTGTCCGATTGCGGGCTGCAAGGGCAGAGGGTTTGTCACACATCATCCCTGCCTGCATTTTATCCCTGTGCTCCCACAGATGCTGAGCATGGGCCACCCATCACACCCAACCCTGAGCATCCTTTTTTGCCTTTTTTAACCCTCCATGCTAACTGTAACCAGTTGCACAGAGCTCACTGGTGCTGCTGGGAGGGATGCCTGCCTCAGGCAGGTGTATGTTTGCCAAATGGGGCTTTGAACTTTCTGAAGTAATGTCTCTGCAGTTTAAAAGAGTAGCAGGGGTCTCTGTTGGAGGAATCTATGGGGGGACTCAACTGGGGAGCTACATTGGTGATCTCTATGGGGGTCTTATTTGGGGAGCTTACTTGAGGGCTCTACTGGAGATCCCTATTGGGGAGCTCTACTGGAAGACTCTCTTGAAGGGATAAATCACAACCTGGTGTGCCTCTCTATGGGGCCATGGAGGGTGCAACCAGCTCTGCCCCTGCTGGTGCTTCTCTGCACTGGGAAGCAAATAGCAGAAAATCCCAGTTGGCTTGAAAAGATGGATTTCACAACAATATTGATAGCAAACTGTGCGTGCTTCCTATTCTTTGCAAATAGGTTTTGTCTTTAAAATCTAAATCTTTGAGCAGAGAGCGAATTAATGGGATGTTGATATATTCCTGCGATCCTTGTGCAGAGGACTCAGGAAAAATGACAGGTTGCTGTTGGAGCTGCTGTGGGTTTACCTGGCAGCTCTTTGTGTGCACAGCTTTAGGTCACTCGAGGATGGGGTTTGCATACCATAGAGATACAGAGCTGAATACATCCTCTCCCTGTGCACGTGGTGCTGGATGAGCAGAGTGTCCTCAGAGCTGAGCTTTGTCACCATCCCCAGGATGCGCTGAGTCTTGACTTTGAGACAACAGAGCGTTGGGAGTGAGAGCAGCGTTAGTGCTCTGAAATGTGTCACAGCCCTCCCCGAGGGGTTGTGAAATGATTCGAGAAGCAACGTGGCCCCTTCCATCCCGGAATAGACGTTTGATTCGTGCCCTCCCACCCAACACACCCAGCCACGGCCCCACAGCACTCACCGTCCTTGAGCAGCGCCGTGCCGTTGGCACTGAGGAGGATGGAGGTGGAGTTGTTGGAGAGGCATCGGCCACCCCTGCAGAGAGCGGGATGCTGGAGCACACGCAGAGGGAACGGGGTGGGAGGAAAGGACTGGGGATGGAGAGCAGGTGCCTCACACTGCCACGTGCTGGGTGATGAGCAGCTCCTGCCCGCTGCTGGGCTCCACGTGAAGGTGGCCGTGATCGATGAGCAGCAGCTCCAGGAGGTGCTGGGGGAGCTGGGCAGCCCCGGCCACGTATTGCCACAGCCCCAGCAGCTGTGGGAGAGGTGCAGGGTGGGGGGGGGGGGGCCCTTTCAACCCCCCCCTGCGTAATCAGTGAACATAAGGATGTTCTAATTAAGAAATACACTAGAAAGTTAGGCTAAACAGGTTATTACCCTAAAGAACAGATGGAAAGCTTACCTTTACCCTGGGCTTGCTAAGAAGACTCCAAGAGGAGCAATCTCCAAAAGAGACCCTTCCTCTCTGGCAGTCAGCTCTTAAATGGGCTCTAGGAGAGGTGCAGCCAGGCTCCACCCCTCCCAGCAGCACAGGAGAATTGCCTTCACTTGTGCTCCCAGGGCTGACTCAGTGCTCGCCTCAGGCGGTCAATCAGAGGTTCAGGCTGCGATTCAGCAGTTCCCACACCCCCAGCACCCAGACCCTCCTTACCCACGGCATCGTTGTGTTGGCCAGGCTCGGGGGTGCTGTGGGTTTGTGGGGAGCGGCAGCTGCAGACAGCAGAGCTGTGAGGATGAGGATGAGGGTGGTGGAGACGTTGGTTGGTGCCATGGCTGCTGGGGGGAGAAGAATGAGAGAAGCCGCCGTGCGGATGGACAGATGGACGCTGCTCCCTCAGCTGTTTGTTTGCACGGCAGGGCCTGTGATGCAATGGCACTTTTCGGGGAAATGGCCCTGGTGGGAGCCAACCCAGCATGGTGCTATCAGTGGCTGGAGGAGGGGAGTGGGGCAAAGCACTTCCTGCAAGGAAAGATGAAATCTGACCTAAATTTCCCAATTTCAGCCAATGTTGCTGCTCTGCAAATGAAGAACTGTGTTGCTTACTGGAATATGGAGCATAGGGAGCTGCCAGCTCTGGGTCTGAGCCAAAATGGTGCTGGCAGGGCTGTAGGGCTGCCTCAAGCAGGGTGTGTGTGCTGGGGACTCATCCTGTGCCTGAGTCCCAGCTGGAACTGTCAGCTCCACCACTGCTTCTCCTCACAGGTTTTCCTTTGTGTCTGATCTAAACCTGAAGGGTAACCCCATTTATCCTGCTCTCGGTCATGGCTGTGGGGCTCAGTAGCTCTTGCCCTGCTCATGGCCCCCCACATCATCCCACACACCCACTAGATTGGATGCAGCAGTGCCTTGGTGCTGCTCATGGAAGCAAACCCAGGGGTTGGATCACTGCCTTCCTGAGCCATGGCCCATTTTGGTGAGTGTGAGCCATCCATCCTCAGGATTTTGTCTGATTTGGGGCAGGAATGGGGCCCAAAGCCAACGCCGGTGCTGCCCACCCACACCCATCCCACACGTGGGCACAATGAAGGCGAGCGCACGGCAGGCAGGTGTCACACACAGCTTTATTCCAGGTCCACGTGAGAACAGAAAAGCAGCAAATTCCTTCTGCGAAGGGCATCGTGAAGACGTTGGAAGACATAAATCCTCGTCGGGGCATCCCTGGCAGAGCGGGGCACAGGAGGGATGTGGGCTCACCCCTGCTGTGGCTCTGCGGTGGCTGTGCTGCCTTCGCCCACCTCCTCTCCAGCTGCAGGACAGGCATTCTGGGGAGGGGGCACAGAGCTCATTCCTGCACTGATTGCCCCCATGGGGAGCCCCGTGCCTGCAGGGCCGTACCTTGGGGGAGGTGATGAATGCCTCCTCCAGCTTGAAGCCGTGGCAGCGCAGTTGGGCTTCAAATTCCTCCAGCTGCTCTTTGGTCACCTTGGGAGTCCGTGCTGTAGGAAAAGTGGTGTAAAAGCAGGAAAAAGGGGAAAATGAAAGGGTCTGTGAGTGTTGGGGTGCTCCCCGGCTCAGTGTGCTCACCTGAGAGGCTCAGGCCCACGTGGTTATCCTTGAAGTGCTTCAGGATGAACAGGTCCTTGTCGCTGTGCATCAGCTCGGCCATGGACACCTCCTGCCCCTCCTCTGGAAGACAGAGGGGCCGTGTTCCCGTAAGGCAGCGTGGTGGTGGTTGGGGGATGGGTGTCAGGAGGGGCAGCAGCAGCTTTACCGTGCACCAACGTGGAGTTGTGCCGGAAGACGTGGATCTTGCTGGTGTTCCTCACCACGCAGGTTTCGTTCCTGGGGAGGCAGAAAGTGAAACAGGACTCAAATCACTCCATGTACACCTAGAGGGTGTGCCGTCCCACACACACTGCAGCCTCCTTGGTGGGCTGGCCAGACCACTGCCACCTGTCTGTTCCCTGCCCACAGCTCAGGGGTGGCTCTGACCCGCTGCCTGGGAGCATCCCATCCCATCCCATCCCATCCCATCCCATCCCATCCCATCCCA